TGTATGTATATAATCACGTTTACTAAAAATACGATTCATGTATGTATATAATCACGTTTACTATAAATACGGGGAAAAAAAGAGGAACATAATTACGCATTACTATAGTTACTACAGTTACATGTAGTTATTTTCAGTATAGTAAACATATAAATTGGAAATAAAAAAACAAATTAAAAAACAATTTTTTTTAACAAAATAATATATATATATATATATATATATATATATATATATATATATATATATATATATATATATATATATATATATATATATATAAATATATATATATATATATATATATATATATATATATATAAATATATATATGTATAAACATAAATGTAGAAGCAGCTTGGCCGAAATTGCATATAGGGGTAGTATAGTACTTTCGCTTCTCCAGGTGTATGTCGAAGGATGATTTAGGCTTATGTTTATTCCTAATTTATTTTGTGGCTAGGGTGTTATGTAAAATAACCTCATTTAAATAATAACAAATATCATACTCCAACAAGAAAAATAATATTGATACATAAACGGAAAATTAGATGCTACACGTGATTATTTGCACTAGTTGATTAATTTGAACCATAGACTTACACATACGCACACACATCCATATGTACGCGTGCTTGGCAGCCAGTAACAAATTGATATTTGGAGCATGTGGCTGACTGGATATGTTGATCACCGTTGTCAATTTGTAATATTCAAACCGCTTATTATTATTATTATTAAATTTTTTTTTTATTAGTAATATCAAAATCGTAGAAGGAAAAATGGAAAAAAGAAAAAGAAAAAAAAAAAAAAAAAACAAAACAAAAAAGGAAAACAGTATAAGACAGACAATAATCATCTCTGAATTTCTCATAAATAAAATGGAAGCCCTTTCTTCCTCTTTCAGACATCCTCAATTTTTGCAGGTTCGTTCTTTAAATAATATTGGGGCCAATGTTAAAAGAAGGCATCAGCCAGTGATCAGAGCCAACATATTCAAGAAACCCTTGGATTCAACCATACTCAACAAATTGGATGACTTCATATGCACATTTCTCGACCCGTCTCCCCTCCGCCCGAGCATCGATCCCGAACACAGTATGTCGGGATACTTTGCTCCGGCGGAAGAGCTCCCCCCCACCGCATGTACTGAGGTGGCGGTGGAGGGGGGCGGCGGCCCCCTTCCCAGCTGTCTGGACGGGGCCTACATCCGCAACGGCCCCAACCCTCAGTTCGTCGTCGCAGAGGGCCGCCGCCGACCTTATCACTTATTCGACGGCGACGGAATGCTCCACATGATCAGGATATCCGGCGGCAAAGCCACCACATTCTGCAGCCGCTTCGTCAAGACGCACAAGCACACGGTTGAGCGTGAAAACGGGTCCCCCTTTGTTCCTAGTACTTTCTCCTCCTTCAACGGCATCGCGACTTCCCTATCGAGATGCATGCTTACCGCCGCACGTGTGCTGACGGGGCAGTTCGATCCGCTGAACAAGGGCTTGGGAGCCGCCAACACCAGCGTTTCTCTATTGCCTGGTGGCGGCGGTGGCGCCAACCTCTTTGCTCTGTCTGAGTGTGATCTACCGTACGAAATTAAAGTGACGGAAGAAGGAGATATAGTAACCCTCGGCCGCCATGATTTTCGCAGCAGCATCAGCATCAGCAGCAACAACAACAACAACAACAACAACAAAAAAAACAACAACCCGTTATTATTCTTGAATATGACAGCACATCCGAAGGTTGACGAAAAAACCGGAGAAACATTCGCTTACCGATGCAACATCACGCGTCCGTTCCTGACGATGTTCAGAATCGACCCTGACGGGAGGAAACAAAAGGATGTGCACGTACACTCCTTGAAGGAAAGCACGATTATTCACGACTTTTCCGTGACAGAGAATTTCTGCGTATTCGTAGACACACAGATTGTGATGAACCCTTTGTCGGTTTTGAGGGGAAGGCCGCCGGTAGGGGTCGATCGGGCAAAGGTGCCCCGGCTAGGGGTGATCGGGAAATACGCGGAGGATGACAGCAGAATGTGGTGGACAGAGGCGCCGGGGCTGAACATGTTTCACAGTGTGAATGCATGGGAAGAAGACGGCGGCGCCACCATTGTGATGGTGGTTACAAATGCTTTACAAGTTGAGGAGTTGTTTGAGAGCATTGGTTTGGCGCAACTGAGATTGGAGAAGATCACCATTGATGTCAAAGCTCAGACGCTGCAGAGGCAACCCTTGTCCACTAAACTTCTTGAATTTGGAGTTATCAATCTAGCTTATGCTGCTAAGAAAAACAGGTGTGTGTATATATTATATGTATATATGAGCTTATTGCATTTATTGCCCCTGTGAAAATCGCAACTGCACGTTTTCCCCGACCCTGTCATAAAAAAAATTAGCAAATACCCTCAATGTATTTATCAGTCAAAGGCGAAAACACCCCTCATCGCAGATCGCGTGTCTCACTCGCGGGTTCTGCAAATATTCTTCTTTTTTGTTGTGTGAAATGACATAATTGCCCTAACATCTTTTTTTTTTTAAATAAATTATATATATATATATTTTATGCATTTTCATTGTTTTAAATTTATTAAGTTATAAATATTTATAAATAAATATTTGGTACTTACGAAAATATGAAATAATGAAACACATAATATTTTGTAGATATTATATGTAGTTTTTAGAACATTACAACTCAATTCCCTGACTTATTTTCTTAAGTTTTTCAAAACTTCAATTTGGTCCCCTAGTTTTTTTTTTCCAGAAATTCCCAGGTTACTTCAGTCCATTTACAACCGGTCAATGGGGAAAATTTAAATCGGTATCTAAAAATATATACATTGGAGTTTCTGCTAATTTTGTTATGACAGAGGGAAAACGTGCAGTTGCAATTTTCACACGTGTGGTAAATTCAATAAGCTCATATATATAATTATATGTGTTTTTTATAATATATATATATAAAGCTTTTTTAGATTGTTTGAAAAAAATATATATACTATCTATATTTTGTTGATACGTATCCAGGTATGTATACGCAGCAATGATAGGGCAGAAGGGCATCGACGGGATAGTGAAACTAGACCTATCACTAACACATAAAGATGGCCACGTCGACTGCGTGGTGGCAAGCCACCTATATAGACCGGGTTGTTGTGGCGGTGAACCGTTTTTTGTACCGAAGGAACCGAATAATCCATCGGCAGATGAGGATGACGGTTATTTAGTAACGTTTGTAACCGACGAGAATAACGGAGAGTCCAAATTTGTGGTGATGGATGCCAAGTCCGTGACTCTCGACATTATTGCTGCCGTTAAGCTACCGTGTCGAATTCCGAGTGGCTTCCATGGTCTCTTTATAACGGAGGCTGAACTCAACAAAGTTTAAATATAAATATAAATATATATATATATATATATATCTAATGTTTTTTTAACTGTTCAATTCCTGTAAGAATTACTATGTTGCAACTTATATTCACGCGTGGAAATGAAAAGAAATTGTGAAAACAGAATAAAAAGACACACATACTACATCAAATGTGGAAAAAAGTTCAGCCCGATGATTTTCAGATATAATATTTTCTTTGGAAAAAAGTTCAAATTTCATCTTTTTCAAGTTTGTATCGATTTCGCATTTAGTTTCCCATGTTTTTAATACTTCTGGGATCTCTCATGTTTCAAAAATTTAATATTTTTAGTCATTTTTGTTCATAATAACGGAATCAAACTTGTGCCCAACACTGCCTTAATTGATGGACTAGCAGTAAATTGACGAAAATGGCCAAAAGTGTTTTAAGTTATTGAGACACACATGAGGAATTAAATATGTTTTTTAGGATTATGAAGGACCAAATGTAGAATATGTGCAAACTTGAGGGGTAAAAAATGTAATATGTGCAAACTTGAGGGGTGAAAACTGTAACAATAGAGTACTTGCTGGAACACTACGCATCAGACAGCCTTCACAGATGTAACTCAGTTCAACAACCAACCGCTCTGCACACTGTCACGAAAACCAAATCGTTATATGGGTCGGGTCGGGTTGTGATTTCGCGGTCGAGATTTTTCGATGGCGAGTTCAAACGGAGGAGGAGATGTGTGGAGGGCACATACGGCGATGGCGGCGGCGCAGCTGTTCTACGGCGGCTACCACGTCATCACCAAGGTGGCGCTCAGCGACGGCGTCAACCAGTTCGTCTTCTGCGTCTTCCGCGATCTCCTCGCCCTTTCCATTCTCGCCCCCGTCGCCTATTTCCGCGAAAAGTGTGTAATTATCTCTTCCTTTTCATCTCTCTCTCTCTCACCTCAGTGTGTGTTTTACTGTGTGTTGAGATAGATCAAATAGTGAAATTCTTGTGAATGTGCAGTAGTGTTCGTTTGGATTGATTGCATTGGATTGGATTGGATATGATTAGATTGTCCATAATCTATTATCTTGTTGTTTGGGGATTTATGATTATAATAATTCGTATGCTTATTATCTGTTCGATTAAATGCCAGGCCCAATTTTTAATCAGGTGTGCTTCAAACCAAACCTCATATATTTGATAAATCTTGATTTTATTGTCAAATGTGGGAATTTGTACTAAATTTTTCTTGTTGTTGATTGAGATATGCCCGATTTAGGTGGTGTTTGCAAAAGCTTTTAGAAATAAATTATGAGTTTTTTTATGCACATAATCTGTTTTTAGGTGTTTGCAATGCACATAATCTGTTTTTAGGTGTTTGCAAAACAAACAAGCTTTTGTTTTTGCTTCTCTTAAAATAAGCTGTTTTAAGCTATAATTTTAAAAGGACTCATGTACTTGCCTTTTCTATTTTAGTTGATTTTCCGGCTAAAATGCAAAGACCACAACTTTTAGAAATAAGCACTTAATTTCAACTTAACTCACAGTCACTTACTTTTGCTTTTAAATAAGCGTTTTCAGACACCACCTTAGATGGGTTTTGGCAAAAATGCTTTCTTGTATTATCACAAATCAGCAGAATCATGAATTAATCTCTGTTCTTCAAGAATGTTTTTTCGAGAATTAATTTCATGCTATCAATAAATGCAACAAAAAATTATATATTTATTTCCTGTTCTGCAGAGGGCTAAGACCGCCGATGAACAGACACTTTTTATTCACGTTTGTCTTTCTCGGTTTAACCGGGTAAGAGTTGATATATATTGTATCTCCAGTTTTGTGCTGCGTTTTTTTTTTCTCTTTTCTTTCTGCTTACTAATACATTATTGAACTTTCTTCTATACTAAATATCAGGGTTTTCGGGAACCAGCTTTTATTTCTTTTAGGTCTTGGCTACACAAATCCGACGTACGCTGCAGCCATACAACCTGCTATTCCAGTCTTTACTTTCGTCTTAGCCATAATTATGGGGTTAGTAAAAAATATCTCGATTTTTTTTTGAGGAACCAATTGTTTCTATATTTGCAACTCAACTTTTTGTTCGCGCAGTACAGAAAAGTTGAATATACGAAAAACCGAAGGTCAAACAAAGTTAGGAGGTACTCTAGTCTGTATTTCCGGTGCCATTCTAATGGCTACTTTCCGTGGGCCCGCTGTGTTTGGGAATAAGGAATCGAATACTTCATCATCTCAAAGTGAGAGAACTTTCGAACAAGGGTTACCGTCTACTTTTCTTGATTTAGGGATCGACAATTGGCATCTCGGGGTTTTGTGCTTGATTGGGAATTGCATGTGCATGGCAGCTTATCTAGCATACCAGGTAATTTATTCATCGTGCAAGAATTTGTTTTTGAGATACGATTGTGTATCTTAGCTAAAGGCTAACTCTTAGGCAATGTTTGTCGTTATAGGTGAAATTGTAGTTCCTATAGTATTATGGAATTTGTTGTGAATGGAATATACGAAAGTAAGAGGGTGTTTGGCTAAGCTTATTAGCTGTTAAAAACTGTTTGGTAATTTTTTTTAGGGCAAATTACGGCCCTGAGGTATGGCCAAATTACGAAAAAACCCCTCTTGTTTGGATAATTACAGCCACCCCCTCCTTTTCAATATTTTTTCATAGAATTTATGTAATTCGGTTATTAACCGAACCAAATCGTATATTCAGTTCGGGAAACAGTATGAAATGTTGGCGTACCAAAATTTTGGTTCAGTTTACCGATTTAACATCCTTAAATTTACCTCTGGAGGGGTATTTTCGTAAGATAATGCATAGTTGAGGGGTTACTGTAATTACCCAAACAAGAGGTGGGTTTTCGTAATTTGACCATACCTCAGGGGTGGTCGTAATTTGCCATTTTTTTTAAAAAGACCGTACAAGTTCAATAAATAAGCTGCTGGAGAGCTTATAAGATTTTTCAAAAAATACGCATACTCCCTACCTTTTTATGTAAGATCTTATAAACTCATTATCCAAACACTTCAAAAATTAATTCTAGAAATAAGATGTAACAGTTTATTAGCTCTTAAGACGCACTTATTAGATGTAAGAACTTGTCAGTTGTTTAAAATAAGCTTAGACTAGACCGGAAATCTTTTGAGTTTTTTGCTTCTTGTCGCTATATAATAGATTGAAATCAAGATCGTAATTTGGCGTGTCGGAATTTGAGTTGTTTAATTGCGCTGCTATCTGTATTTGTTGTATCAGGCTCCACTTTTAGCTAAGTATCCTGCAAGTATATCAGTGACGGCCTATTCATACTCTTTTGGTTCTCTGTTTATGGTAGTTACCGCATTTTTTGTGACCAATGATTCAAAAGACTGGAATCTCACACAATCCGAGGCTTTTGCCGTTTGCTATGCTGTAAGTTCTCTCTCTCTCTCTCTTCTATTTTTCTGGGAACTAAGGCCTCGTTTGGTTGGTAAGACTACTTAAATAATTCAAATTCATTAGATATTTGATTAGCAATTGTACAGATATTTTGGTCTTGCCTGAAAATTTTGGGTTCGAGAATTACTAATCCAAAAACTAAATAAGATTGTGTTAATTTTATATGTAGTTTTTTTATATATCTAGGCAATAATTCTCTTGATTCGATTTTTCCTTCAATTTTTACTCACCCTCATTTTATTTCTTTTCACGTTATAGGGTGTTATAGCATCGGCACTTAACTATGGAATGACGACATGGTCAAATAAGATCATCGGCCCCGCTTTGGTTGCTTTGTACAATCCACTTCAACCTGCTGCATCCGCTTTCCTCTCCAAAATTTTCCTCGGAAGTCCAATTTATTTAGGAAGGTAATGTATATATACACACACACGCGCGCGCACACATGCACTTCCATTTACTCGTTTCGTCATTTTGACTTTAGTTTTGTTGAATCGTTTTAATTTTATATTGTATATCAGCGTTATTGGAGGGCTACTAATTATAGCTGGGCTTTATTTGGTGACTTGGGCATCCTATAGAGAACGACAGGCGAGTGTAGCATTAATTCCTCATGCCTCACGGTCATCAGAACCGCTCATTAACAGAGATTCGTCTGTCACCAAAATTTCCTCACAGACAGGACACGTTATCACGGGCCCTGGCTCTTCCAACTTGAGAGGAAAACCCGTTGATTAGAGGTTCTTTTTTTTTTTTGGTGGGATGTTGGATTTTATGGGGAAAAAAAAAGCTGCAAGATTTATTAATTGTTTTTAACGAATCGAAAAATTAATTTGTACGGTCTAGGGGTGGAAATCGGAACGAAATTTCCGATTTCCGCCGAATCCGATCCGATTATTTCCGATTTTGGAACGATTTTTTGTAATCCGATTTCCGAAATTCCGATTTCCGAATTTTCCGAAAAAAATTGGATCGGAATCGGAATTTGTAATAAAAGTTTCGGAATTTCCGAATTCCGATCCATATTAATTCCGAATTATTCCGAAATTTTCCGATTTTTATATATACTTAAAATTCAATATACATTTATATATTTTAATATTTTTATACTAGAACTAAGGCAACTGTAATTTTTCAATTTTGGGTTGGGCTGTATATTTATTTGTTTAAATGATTGGCATTTTGATCCAATGTAAATTGGCCCAGTATACAATATAAAATTAGCTCCATTAAAATCTAACCTAATTTTTTTTGACAAGTAAAATCTAACCTAATTAATTGTTTCCAAATCATTCCCAGCGGCGCCGCTTCTTCTTCTTTCAGACATAACAAAAACCCAAGTCATTTTCTTCTTCTTCCTTCTTCTATTGCGGTTCGTTGCTCAGGCTTCTTTTCCGACGTCGTTCTGTTCCTCAACCACATATCTCGTTTCATTTCGTTAATTCATTGAGTTAATTATTCGTCAGCGGAACCGATCAATATCCGCCATTAATGGGGCACTTTGTTCTCTGTCGTTCTTTTTTGTAATTTCAGTAGAAATATCGTAATCTTAGGAATTTTTTATGTGGAACATGTCCACTTGTTCTGGTAATTTGAAGATAATTGAAATTCTGGATCGTGTTGCGAGCTTAAAGCTGGATTTTGGTCATTCTTTTGTACTATTTTCGATTTTTTTTCCCTTTCTCAGAAAATTCCGAAAAAATTCCGAATTTCCGAAAATTCCGAAAAAATCGGAATCGGAACTCATTTTCAGATTCCGAATATTTCGGAATCGGAATCGGAAATGAAATTTGTGTTCCGAAAAAAATCGGAAATTTTCCGATAGGCCTAGTTCCGATCCGATCCGTCCGATTTCCAGCCCTAGTACGGTCTCATCATCTCTCGTTAGGCATCGTTGGAGAATATTGATGGGATTGATAAGATTAACCGAATTGGTTCGGATATCGTTGTACGCGATAATGTAACATGCGATTATGTTACATTTGAGATTTGAATGTATACGATTCTTGTATTGGATAATTGAAATCAATGTTACGTTTGAAATATTCGATGTTATTCGATTTTTTGGAAGTTAGATGACTATTCGACTATGGATTATCCTTTGTGGAATGTGTAATAATCTAAGTTGAGGTTGGATTAAATATCTTTCATATGATTGATTAAAATTCGGGTTTCTTTTCTGTCACGGGCTTCAAGCTAAAACTCTACACATTTGACCAACTTTAGATTATATTTTCTAGGACAAATTACGGCTACTCCCTAAGGTATGGTCGAATAGCGTAAAATTCCCTCTTATTTGGATAATTATGAAATAATTAAAAAAATAATTAAATTCCAACCCCCACAACAAGCAGATCGAAGAGCTCAATAAAATTACAGAATACAGTAAAACTTTTATAAATTAAAATTAATAATATCGGGATCGGGGTTATTTTATTAATTTGGCGATATATTATTATATCGATAAATTAATAATTTATTAATTTAAAAAGATTTTACGTATGACCATTAAATTTCCAAGTCCAATGTACTAGTTGCGGATACCACTCAGAATCCGGTCGATGACGAAGTTGAGGATGATTATATAGCTTTGGAAGCATTGCCAGCGGCAACACCGGCAACAACTCTGGGGGGAGTTAAAGAGGAACTCAATATAGATTTGAAGTTCACCAAAAAAAAAAACAAGTGACTACAGATTCATTTTTTACTAGATAATCTCAGAATATGAATCTCTTAGTAAATATTAATATATAGATTCGTGGGGATCAATATATATATATATATATATATATATATATATATATATATATATATATATATATATATATATATATATATATAATGGAATTTAAAAAAGTTATTATCTCAATATTTTATTAATAGGGGTCCAATTTTGTACCTGTCCCAAGTTGGGATTAGACAAAACTTTTCAACGATGAGCTGATGACAACGACGGAGAGTAGGGATGAAGCAACGGGTTGAACAAATCTAACAGAGTGTGGGGAGTCCGAAAAACACTGGACTTTTAGCAAACTTCAAAAGTTAGTATATCTTGATGTAAATAACAATTGGAGCTTAGGGATATTTTACAAATTGCCCATTTTTTAAAGTTGAATAATCAACCCCCTTGAGAGAGAGTATTTGAATTGAACATCCATCATAAATATAATAAAATTTTCCGGTCAATTTGAATTATTGTATTTGACTTGAATATTTTCAAATGAAATCTAACTTGAGTAGTTCTTCAAATTTCATAAAAGTATTGGTGGTGGTGGCTTTAAGCTATTTCATTAATTGTGAATTGTGATCATTCAATTCCATATCTGATAGTTTGCACATTTTATTTTTATTTTTAAAAACAATGAATAAGTCATATTTTAAAACAATATATTATTATTTAAACATTTTAAACTCAGAAATCATTAATTATTAGTGGGTATATTATTTCCTAGGGTGTCCAAATACACTATAATATATTAAGGTTGTAAAAGGTGCAAATTGGGTCGGAGGTGGGGAGGCACCACCGCCTTACGATTAATCGACAATCAATAAGAAATAAACCATTTTTTTTCATATTTAATGTAATATATTTCAAGATATTATTTGTAAATACTGAACATATGTAAAAAGATATTATTTGGCGACCAGCAGTCAGTGTCGGCGACCGACGGTGGCAGGAAAAAAAAATTGGGAAAGAAAAGAGTTTAAAAAAAAAAACCGACGGTGACAGTCAAATTTGCATTTTTGGTCAAAATTGATTAATTGGTGAAATTGAGACTAAATAATAGTTTAAATCATGAAATTGGGTGTGAATTAAGAATTTGAAGTTATGGGTAATTTTGATACTTATAAAAGACTTTACTTTAGTTGCAAATATTATATATGTTGGTGGTTTGCAGGATCGTGCTTCTTCTTTCTCAATCTATTTTTAATTGGAAAACGCAGGTAGACATGTGATATGCCTAATTGGGCCAACCCAATGGGCCTACAATTTATTTACCTACTGGGCCACGAGCCCAATATCGAAGACCACTATCACCGAGGCCCAATCACCTTCAAGCAAGGTTTGGGGCCCGACAATCTCGACTAAGCTATAAATACACCTTTGAACTCATTCCTTAAGGTACGTCCTATTAACTGAGCAATACTACAATACGTATTCTCTGGACCATTTCTATGATCAGCACGTCTGACTTGAGCGTCGGAGGGGTTTCCGCCGGATCAACCCCCGGCGTAGTTCACGTGTGTTCATTTCGCAGGTACCTCAGGATCATCAAGTTGTCAAGCTACTGATCTGCTTTGCTCTCCCAGTTCATTTTCTACACCACCCCAGGTGATCTAAATAATTAGCATCATCAACATGGATATTTATTTATGTACATTATTTTATATTTTTGTATTTTTATTAACATAAATTTTCTATAAATACAATATAAAATATTGGAAAAGAAAGAATTGGATCAATGATCGCCAACGACAGATGGGGCTGGTCAACCGATGAAATTGAGATAAAATTATGGTTTCAAACTTATGAATTGAATGTAGACAAGGTGTATTTAAATAAGGATTATTTTAGAGAACCCCTCGTTTCGAAAATATATATGACTAATTATCATGTTATTTACACTTTAGTGCAAACTTCCTCCATTTGAATAATAATTTCATATACACCCCTAGCCCACCCTGAAGTATCCAAAATATCCTTTTAAATCAGTTTGAAACACTAGCCCAACCCATATCGTTTTTTATCTTCCTCTTTTAATTCCCAGATCCAAATTCCGCCCCCAATGACTCTAACCGACGATATTGCTTTCCGGAATCATAATTCACTCTCCGGTGGTCGGAATTCGATGGTTTAACTATTGTTGGATTCTTCTCGTCGAGCTCTTTCTTTTGATGGGTATTTCATTCAGTTTCAGTACAGTAAACATATTGATTTGAAAATTAAAAAAAATTAAAAATAAATAAATAAATATATATAAGAAAAAAAATAATAATAAATAAATCAGCAAAAATGACAAAATGTAGGACCAGAAATGTTGAATGCAACTTGGCCGAAAATTGTATATAAGGGTAGTATAGTACTTTCTCTTCTCCAGGGGTATATCAACAGATGATTTGGGATTGAGTTTATCCTTAGTTTATTTGGTGGTTAGGGATTTATGTAAAATAACTCCATTTAAATAATAACAAATATCATACTCCAACAAGAAAAATAATATTGATATATAAACGACAGATTAGATGCTACACGTGATCATTTGCACTAGTTAATTAATTTAAACCATAGATCTATACATATTAACACACACCCATGTGTACTGAGTGTTTCGCAAACAATCAGTAACAAATTGATAATTGGAGCGTGTGGCTGACTAAATAGACAATTGGAGCGTGTGGCTGACTGGATATGTTGATCAGCGTTGTCAATTTGTAATATATTATTATTATTATTATTTTTTTTTTATTAGTAATATCAAAATCGTAGAAGGAAAAATGGAAAAAAGAAAAAGAAAAAAAAAAAAAAAAACAAAACAAAAAAGGAAAACAGTATAAGACAGACAATAATCATCTCTGAATTTCTCATAAATAAAATGGAAGCCCTTTTTTCCTCTTTCAGACATCCTCAATTTTTGCAGGTTCGTTCTTTAAATAATATTAGGGCCAATGTTAAAAGAAGGCATCAGCCTATGATCAGAGCCAACATATTCAAGAAACCCTTGGATTCAACCATACTCAACAAATTGGATGACTTCATATGCACATTTCTCGACCCGTCGCCCCTCCGCCGGAGCATCGATCCCGAACACAGTATGTCGGGATACTTTGCTCCGGCGGAAGAGCTCCCCCCCACCGCATGTATTGAGGTGGCGGTGAAGGGGGGCGGCGGCCCCCTTCCCAGCTGTCTGGACGGGGCCTACATCCGCAACGGCCCCAACCCTCAGTTCGTCGTCGCAGAGGGCCGCCGCCAACCTTATCACTTATTCGACGGCGACGGAATGCTCCACATGATCAGAATATCCGGCGGCAAAGCCACCACATTCTGCAGCCGCTTCGTCAAGACGCACAAGCACACGGTTGAGCGTGAAAACGGGTCCCCCTTTGTTCCTAGTCCTTTCTCCTCCTTCAACGGCATCGCGACTTCCCTATCGAGATGCATGCTTACCGCCGCACGTGTGCTGACGGGGCAGTTCGATCCGCTGAACAAGGGCTTGGGAACCGCCAACACCAGCGTTGCTCTATTGCCTGGTGGCGGCGGTGGCGCCAACCTCTTTGCTCTATCCGAGTGTGATCTACCGTACGAAATAAAAGTGACGGAAGAAGGAGATATAGTAACCCTCGGCCGCCATGATTTTCACAGCAGCAGCAGCAGCAGCAGCAACAACAACAACAACAACAACAACAACAACAAAAACAACAACCCGTTATTATTCTTGAATATGACAGCACATCCGAAGGTTGACGAAAAAACCGGAGAAACATTCGCTTACCGATGCAACACCACGCGTCCGTTCCTGACGATGTTCAGAATCGACCCCGACGGGAGGAAACAAAAGGATGTGCACGTACACTCCTTGAAGGAAAACACGATTATTCACGACTTTTCCGTGACAGAGAATTTCTGCGTATTCGTAGACACACAGATTGTGGTGAACCCTTTGTCGGTTTTGAGGGGAAGGCCGCCGGTAGGGGTCGATCGGGCAAAGGTGCCCCGGCTAGGGGTGATCTGGAAATACGCGGAGGACGACAGCAGAATGTGGTGGACAGAGGCGCCGGGGCTGAACATGTTTCACAGTGTGAATGCATGGGAAGAAGACGGCGGCGCCACCATTGTGATGGTGGTTACAAATGCTTTACAAGTTGAGGAGTTGTTTGAGAGCATTGGTTTGGCGCAACTGAGATTGGAGAAGATCACCATTGATGTCAAAGCTCAGACGCTGCAGAGGCAACCCTTGTCCACTAAACTTCTTGAATTTGGAGTTATCAATCCAGCTTATGCTGCTAAGAAAAACAGGTGTGTTTATATATATATATATATATATATATATATATATATATATATATATATATATATGAGCTTATTGCATTTACTGCCCCAGTGAAAATTGCAACTGCGCATTTTCCCCGACCCTGTCATAAAAAAAATTAGCAAATACCCTCAATGTATTTATCAGTCAAAGGCGAAAACACCCCTCATCGCAGATCGCGTGTCTCACTCGCGAGTTCTGCGATTTTTCTTCTTTTTTGTTGTGTGAAATGACATCATTGCCCCAACATCTTTTTTTTTTTTAAATAGATTATATATATGTTTTATGCATTTTCTTTGTTTTAAATTATAAATATTTATAAATAAATATTTGGTACTTACCAAAATATGAAATAATGAAATACATAATATTTTATAAATATTATATGTATTTTTTAGAACATTACAACTCAATCCCCTGACTTATTTTCTTAAGTTTTTCAAAACTTCAATTTGGTCCCCTAGTTTTTTTTTTCAAAAATTCCCAGGTTACTTCAGTCCATTTACAACCGGTCAATGGGGAAAATTTAAATCGGTCAAGTATGCTATCTAAAAATAAATACATTGGAGTTTCTGCTAATTTTTTTATGACAGAGGGAAAATGTGCAGTTGCAATTTTCACACAGGTGGTAAATGCAATAAGCTCATATATATAATTATTTGTTTTTTTTATAATATATATATTTATTTATGACAACTTATATTTAAAGCTTTTTTAGATTGTTTGAAAAAAAATAGAGTATCTATATTTTTGTTGATACGTATCCAGGTATGTATATGCAGCAATGATAGGGCCGAAGGGCATAGACGGGATAGTGAAACTAGACCTATCACTAACACATAAAGATGGCCACGTCGACTGCGTGGTGGCAAGCCACCTATATAGACCGGGTTGTTGTGGCGGTGAACCGTTTTTTGTACCGAAGGAACCGAATAATCCATCGGCAGATGAGGATGACGGTTATTTAGTAACGTTTGTAACCGACGAGAATAACGGAGAGTCCAAATTTGTGGTGATGGATGCCAAGTCCGTGACTCTCGACATTATTGCTGCCGTTAAGCTACCGTGTCGAATTCCGAGTGGCTTCCATGGTCTCTTTATAACGGAGGGTGACCTCAACAAAGTTTAAATATCATATATATATATATTTATATATCTAATGTTTTTTTAGCTGTTCAATTTCTGTAAGAATTACTATATTGCAACTTATATGCACGCGTGGAAATGAAAAAAAGGAACTTGTGAAACCAGAATAAAAAGACACACATATATAAATGTAGGGCAAATTACCAAAACCCCCCTGAGGTAAGCCTAAATAACGAAAATCCCCCCCATGTTCTCGTAATTACGAAAACCCCCCTTGACTAACGGTTGACCGAATTTTTTTAACCGAAAACGTGAAATGTCTATTATATCCTTCTGTTAAATATGTAAAAAATAAAGGGCAAATTACCAAAACCCCCCTGAGGTAAGCCTAAATAACGAAAATCCCCCCTGGCATCCCTTTCAGGTGATGATTTATTGCATTTAAAAATATATTTATTACTTTGTAATTAGTATTGATAATTTGATATCACAATTTTTGATTTTTTTTATTTATATATTTTAATTGATTTTATTTATCCAGAGGAGTATTCATACGGATTTATGCTTTTAGCTTGAATGATGCATGGTTGTATTTCTCGAATTGTAAAATATTTAATTTTATATATAAAAAATAATTAAATTTTGAAATCTCATTCATTGATTTTTTTTAATCCAATAAAAATACATTGTACATTCATAATGATTGATTATATTTGGGTTTAATTTAAGAAAAATATGTATTTTGCAGACACTTATATATTTTTTTATTTATATATTTTAATTGATTTTATTTATCCAGAGGAGTATTCATACGGATTTATGCTTTTAGCTTGAATGATGCATGGTTGTATTTCTCGAATTGTAAAATATTTAATTTTATATATAAAAAATAATTAAATTTTGAAATCTCATTCATTGATTTTTTTTAATCCAATAAAAATACATTGTACATTCATAATGATTGATTATATTTGGGTTTAATTTAAGAAAAATAAGTATTTTGTACATTCATAATGACCCCTCATTAAATAAAATGCTTACAATTACCCCCCTAAGGTTAATTTCATGTTCAAGGGCAAAATTGGTATTATCGGAGGAATATTCGGGAGAATCAAAAAGATTCTATCGAGTCTAACACCGTTAGAGCGATTTGTAAAACGTCTGCATACCTCAGGGGGGTTTTCGTAATTACGAGAACATGGGGGGGATTTTCGTTATTTAGGCTTACCTCAGGGGGGTTTTGGTAATTTGCCCTATAAATGTACATTGTAAGTTATATCTATAAGGACATGCAAAATAAAATTGAACGTCAATTGTCTGACCCGTCGCATGCCCAACTCGATGATTTTCAGTTATAATATTAGAAAAAAAAACAAATTTCATCTTCTCAAGTTTGCATCGAATTCATATTTGGTCCCTATGTTAAAAAAAAAAATACATCTGGTCCCTTATGTTTCAAAAATTTAATACTTTTAGTCATTTCCGTCAAATTTCCGTTAATAATAACGGAATCAAGCTTGTGCCCAACACTGCCTTAACTGACGGACTAGCAGTAAATTGACGAAAATGGCCAAAAGTGTTTAAGTTTTTGAGACATGAGGAATCAAATGTGTTTTTCGTAAATATAGAGGACGAAATGTGGAATATGTGCAAACTTGAGGGGTGAAAACTGTAACAATCGCCTACTTGCTGGAACACCACGCATCAGACAGCCTTCACAGATGTAACTCAGTTCAACAACCAACCGCTCTGCACACTGTCACGATAACCAAATCGTTATATGGGTCGGGTCGGGTTGTGATTTCGCGGTCGAGATTTTTCGATGGCGAGTTCAAACGGAGGAGGAGATGTGTGGAGGGCACATACGGCGATGGCGGCGGCGCAGCTGTTCTACGGCGGCTACCACGTCATCACCAAGGTGGCGCTCAGCGACGGCGTCAACCAGTTCGTCTTCTGCGTCTTCCGCGATCTCCTCGCCCTTTCCATTCTCGCCCCCGTCGCCTATTTCCGCGAAAAGTGTGTAATTATCTCTTCCTTTTCATCTCTCTCTCTCTCACCTCAGTGTGTGTTTTACTGTGTGTTGAAATAGATCAAATAGTGAAATTCTTGTGAATGTGCAGTAGTGTTCGTTCCGGATTGATTGATTGCATTGGATTGGATTGGATAGGATTAGATTGTCCATAATCTATTATCTTGTTGTTTGGGGATTTATGATTATAATAATTCGTATGCTTATTATCTGTTCGATTAAATGCCAAGCCCAATTTTTAATCAGGTGTGCTTCAAACCAAACCTCATGTATTTGATAAATCTTGATTTTATTGTCAAATGTGGGAATTTGTACTAAATTTTTCTTGTCATTGATTGGGATATGCCTGATTTAGGTGGTGTTTGCAAAAGCTTTTAGAAATAAATTATGAGCTTTTTTATGCACATAATCTGTTTTTAGGTGTTTGCAAAACAAACAAACTTTTGTTTTTGCTTCTCTTAATATAAGCTGCTAGCTATAATTTTAAAAGCACCCATGTACTTGCCTTTTCTATTTTAGTTGATTTTCCGGCTAATTTGCAAACACCCCAACTTTTAGAAATAAGCACTTAATTTCAACTTAACTCACAGTCACTTACTTTTGCTTTTAAATAAGCTTTTTCAGACACCACCTTAGATGGGTTTTGGCAAAAATGCTTTCTTGTATTATCACAAATCAGCGGAATCATGAATTAATCTCTGTTCTTCAAGAATGTTTTCTCGAGAATTAATTTCATGCGATCAATAAACGCGATTTAAAAATCTATATATTTCCTGTTCTGCAGAGGGCTAAGACCGCCGATGAACAGACACTTTTTATTCACGTTTGTCTTTCTCGGTTTAACCGGGTAAGTGTTGATATATATTGTATCTCCAGTTTTGTTCTGCGTTTTTTTTTTCCTCTTTTCTTTCTGCTTACTAATGCATTAATGAACTTTCTTCTATACTAAATATCAGGGTTTTCGGGAACCAGCTTTTATTTCTTTTAGGTCTTGGCTACACAAATCCAACGTATGCTGCAGCCATACAACCTGCTATTCCAGTCTTTACTTTCGTCTTAGCCATAATTATGGGGTTAGTAAAAAATATCTCTCGATTTTTTTTTTTTTTTTTTTTTTTGAGGAACCAATTGTTACTATATTTGCACCTCAACTTTTTCTTTGCGCAGTACAGAAAAGTTGGATTTACGAAAAACCGATGGTCGAACAAAGTTAGGAGGTACTCTTGTCTGTATTTCCGGTGCCGTTCTAATGGCTACTTTCCGTGGGCCCACTGTGTTTGGGAATAAGGAATCGGATATTTCATCATCTCAAAGTGAGAGAACTTTCGAACAAGGGTTACCGTCTACTTTTCTTGATTTAGGGATCGACAATTGGCATCTCGGGGTTTTGTGCTTGATTGGGAATTGCATGTGCATGGCAGCTTATCTAGCATATCAGGTAATTTTTATTCATCGTGCAAGAATCATTTTTTAGATACGATGGTATATCGTAGCTAAAGACTAACTCTTAGGTAATGTTTGTCGTTTTAGGTGAAATTGTAGTTCCTATAGTATTATGTAATTTGTTGTAAATGGAATATACGAAAGTAAGAGGGTGTTTAACTAAGCTTATTAGCTGTTAAAAACTGTTTGGTGAACTTTTATTTAAAAGATCGTACAAATTCAAGAAATAAGCTATGGGAGAGCTTATAAGATCTTTTAAAAAAATACCTAACACCCCCATCGTTTTATTTAAGATCGTATAAGCTATTATCCAAACACTTGAACAATTAATTCTAAAAATAAGACATGATAGCTTATCAGCTCTTAAAACAACTTTTTCAGATGTAATAGCTCATTAAAAATATCCTGTAAGCTCATTATCCAAATACTTCAAAAATTAATTCTAGAAATAAGACGCAACAGTTTATCAGCTCTTAAAACGCGCTTATTAGATGTAAGAATTTATCAGTTGTTTAAAATAAGCTAAGACTGGTAATCTTAGGAGTTTTTTCTTCTTGTCGCTATATTAGATTGAAATCAAGATCGTAACTTGGAGTGTCGGAATTTGAGTAGGATTTTTTTTAGTTATTTAATTCCGCTACTATCTGTATTTGTTGTATCAGGCTCCACTTTTAGCTAAGTATCCTGCAAGTATATCAGTGACGGCCTATTCATACTCTTTTGGTTCTCTGTTTATGGTAGTGACCGCATTTTTTGTGACCAATGATTCAAAAGACTGGAATCTCACACAATCCGAGGCTTTTGCCGTTTGCTATGCTGTAAGCTCTCTCTCTCTCCTATTTTTCTGGGAACTAAGGCCCGTTTGGTTAGTAAGACTAATTAAATAATCGAACTTCATTAGATATTTGATTAGCAATGGTACAAATATTTTGGGTCTTGCCTGAAAATTTTGGGTCGGGAATTACTAATCCAAAAACTATATATAATTCTCTTGATTCGATTTTTCCTTCAATTTTTACTCACCCTCGTTTTATTTCTTTTCACATTATAGGGAGTCATAGCATCGGCACTGAACTATGGAATGACGACATGGTCAAATAAGATTATCGGCCCCGCTTTGGTTGCTTTGTACAATCCACTTCAACCTGCTGCATCCGCCTTCCTCTCCAAAATTTTCCTCGGAAGTCCAATTTATTTAGGAAGGTAATGTACACACACACACACACACACACTTCCATTTACTCGTTTCGTCATTTTGGCTTTAGTTTTGTTGAATCGTTTCAATTTTATTTTGTATCAGCGTTATTGGAGGGCTACTAATTATAGCTGGGCTTTATTTGGTGACTTGGGCATCTTATAGAGAACGACAGTCGAGTGTAGGAATAATTCCTCATGCCTCAAGGTCATCAGAACCACTCATTAATAGAGATTCGTCTGTCACCAAGATTTCCTCACAGACAGGACACGTTATCACGGGCCCTGGCTCTTTGAACTTGAGAGGAAAGCCCGTCGATTAGAGGTTCATGTTTTTCTTTTTTATTAATTTTTTTTAAAAATGAAATAATAAATTA